GCTTTGATAAGAAGCCGCGCTTCTTTCAATAGCAGAGATAAGCTGAGCTGAGTTCATGGTGCTGACTGAGTCGTTCCTTCTGCTGTGAGACGAGGCGGCGCGACGACGCTGCTGCTGCTGCACGTTCACGCCAGACCAGGTCTTAGTTTCTGAGTTTAACGGCGATTCATTCGTTTTCTCCCTTTTTAGCACATAAACCTACATGTGACTGCAGCCATGTTTGCTCTGGTGCAGTTAAACAGAGAAGCAGTTTGACATTAACAGTAACATTAAAAAACATTTAGTAGATAGAAGAACGTTTCTTGAGGTTGCTATGAGCGAAGAGGTTAAACCGCTGACATGTGACGCCCGGGGTCGTAATCATTACACGATTAGCTGAGCGTGAGAAAGCGCAGCACGCTCTGCTCCCTCGCCCTCACAGGCTTTGATTACTCGAGGTGTAAAACTGTTCATGTGTTGAAGCAAACATCGTTTGATCACATATGTAACAATCTGTGATAAAACCGATTTTGAAACCTCTGCGTCACTTTTTATTATTTATTTATTTCCATAAATGTATCAGAACACAAAGTGAGGCTACAGGCTGAGTGTTTGTGGCGTCTCCACACGACCACACAGATCCACGGTTAGGTCGTTTTATTAAGAACGGCTGACTCGGCGAAGATTCACCCGGATACGAAAACGACGGTCAAACAATAAAGTGCGTTTATTTGCTTCATGCCTTTGACTCATCACAGTTCTTCCTCTGCAGGATAATAATTTACTGTCTTCCTCGTGTAGTGAAGTAAATGTGAGAAGTCAGTGTCCATCAGTACATGTGGTCATAACAAGACGATTATTTTTCACGTGATAAAAATGTAAAAGAAACATTATTTTTAAAGGTTATAATAAGAATTAACCACACAAGCTGCATCAGTGACACATGCAGGAGCAACTGATGGAAAAACAGCTCATGTGGGATAAACTGTTGACTTATTACGAACAGCTCTGAAACTAAAAATAAAGAAATAAATAAACTCTAAACTTTGACTTTCTTACAACTTTTTTTATTTCTTGTATCTTGTTTGTGACGTTGCTGAGAGTCACGGCTCCTGTAGGGTCTCTGCTCTTTTGTCTCACATGTTCAGAGTTTGGAAACTAAAGCGAGATGTTCTTACCTCCTGTTCGAGGTCCCATCTCTGTTCAAGTCCACGAAAAGCAAAATGCAGAAGATGAATCCGGAAGACGACAAGCTTCAAAGGCGCACGCCAACAGATGGACAGACCATCAGTCTCTGAGCGTTGTCCGGCTTCAAGTGAGACTCTGCGCAGGCTTGATGACACCTATCAGTTTTCTCAGGTCAGTACTCAGTTACTGGACCTGTGATCTGACGGGAGGGTAGTCAGCTGGTTAGAAATAGACGTGCGTGACCGAGTTAAATATTAAACCCTCAAACAAACAAACGAGCCGTCAGCAGGAGACGAGAGGCGACATGTAGTGAGATGTAAAAAATGAGAAATAACACTCGTAAATGTAGAAATCTCACAGTGCATTTGAATTATTAACTGTTACTCATGAACTGTTAAACAATTATTGTCACAAAAAAATCAGGTTTAATGCAAAGAGTGCAGGAGCTCTTCTATGTTCCACAGCAAGAGGGGATTTCATGAGTATTGCACTGATCTCCACAGACTGTTGCACATAGATGAATCTGCAGTAGATGTTTAGTACTGTAAACCTCGTGCTTCCTGTCTGTACACACAGCGGCATCATGCACACTCTGCATGCATGTTTACCTGCTGGCAGACTTTGCTTGGAGAGCAGAAAACAAAAGCAAGTGTTCCTGCAGCGGATCAAGATATCAAGCTTTGTGTTGCCATTACCTCAAACTCACTGTTCCTGAGGCTCAAT